ACAGTCTAAACCATTTAAACCAATTTTCATTGCAGCTATAATTACTCGTCATTACTACTGAAGGACTAAATATAAGAGTATGGTTGAACGTCTAAATAGTGATCATATAACCATATCACGACCATTCCGATATGGGAAATCGAACATGGTCTTCGATTTCACGAGCGATCATTTTTCGCAACTAGATACCAATCACCCTTCTCATATTTGAGAGAATATACGATGCCGTATACTGAATATGCATATACCCCAGCGTGAGCTTGTATATGCTATAATACTGTACGTGAGGTTTAGCGACATGTTATGTTTTGGTAATGCAAACTTGACTTTGATCGCTTATTACTTAACATACAATGTGAGTAGGTACGTCCGTATGTGAATAGGCTTGTTTCACCTGTACAGTTACATGTCACATTAATACAGACCTCTGATCTCCATATTTGATGCAATCATTCTGATCTCCATATTTGATGCAATCATTTGCCCTAACAGAATATGGCCGGGGCGGCCTTCCTTCTAGTTCTAGTTCTACTTCTTGGTATGCATATCTGTGAAGGTAAGAACACGTTTACAACTTGAACATATGAATACTTAGATCTATCATGTGGGCGCTATATGATAAGGGGCGAAAGCGGCAGTATTGACATTACAAAATATTATGATTGCCAAGGCAGCCAACTTGTATGGATTTGTTTTCAAGAAGACGACTGGCTAATTTGATAACTAGATTTTTTTTCTTTAAGATTATGTGCTTTATGTATTGAAAATCCTGAGTCACCAAAACTACACTCTTGAACTGAAGTGTTAAGTAAAGAGTTGAAGCATGTCAGTGATGTTAGTAACACTTTGTCCGTTCTCTCACAGGATATGTATACCTGACAGGGTCTGCTACCACTGCGGCCGCCGGCCAAGCTTTCACCTTCACTTGCAGACACTTACGCAGATTTAGTACTTATGTGAGGTGGACAGTCTTCATGGTTTGTGTTTTCATAAACTGAATGCAGGACCACTTCAAACAACGTACCAGATATCTATAACTTCACATGTTCACCACACAGGTACACTCTAACAATTCTTGACGTTGATTACAACACACATCAGAAGTCGAACTGGACATGTTTTGACCATGGCGACCTCCATAGGAGCAACATTGTAACACTTGATGTCAATGGTGAGAATTGCAAGTTAAATACTTAAACTATTCATCAAAATGATCAAAAGTGAATTACCCCGCGCAAGGACACGGGATGTTGGAAGGCAGTGTATCGAGTAAAGGAGTGTACAATTCATCAAAAGTGAATTACCCCGCGCAAGGACACGGGATGTTGGAAGGCAGTGTAACGAGTAAAGGAGTGTACAATTCATCAAAAGTGAATTACCCCGCGCAAGGACACGGGATGTTGGAAGGCAGTGTAACGAGTAAAGGAGTGTACAATTCATCAAAAGTGAATTACCCCGCGCAAGGACACGGGATGTTGGAAGGCAGTGTAACGAGTAAAGGAGTGTACAATTCATCAAAAGTGAATTACCCCGCGCAAGGACACGGGATGTTGGAAGGCAGTGTAACGAGTAAAGGAGTGTACAATTCATCAAAAGTGAATTACCCCGCGCAAGGACACGGGATGTTGGAAGGCAGTGTATCGAGTAAAGGAGTGTACAAAGGCGTGCCACATGTAGTGTTACACTAACATCAACAGCGTAAAATATAGAGAGAGGCATCCATGAGAGCAAGTGCTACCATCAAGGGAGTTTTGATCCTTTCATACTCCGTGGTAGGGGTTGGGAGTTTTGATCCTTTCGTACACCGTGGAAGGAGTTGGGAGTTTTGATCATTTCATACACCGTGTAAGGGATTGGGAGTTTTGATCCTTTCATACACCGCTGTAGGGGTTGTAAGTTTTGATCCTTTTAAACACCGTGATAGGAGTTGGGAGTTTTGATCATTTCATACACCGTGGAAGGGGTTGGGAGTTTTGATCCTTTCATACACCGTGGAAGAGGTTGGGAGTTTTGATTCTTTCATACACCGTGGTAGAAGTTGGGAGTTTTGATTCTTTCATACACCGTGGTAGAAGTTGGGAGTTTTGATTCTTTCATACACCGTGGAGGGGTTGGGAGTTTTGATCCTTTCATACACCGTGGAAGAGGTTGGGAGTTTTGATTCTTTCATACACCGTGGTAGAAGTTGGGAGTTTTGATTCTTTCATACACCGTGGAGGGGTTGGGAGTTTTGATCCTTTCATACACCGTGGAGGGGTTGGGAGTTTTGATTCTTTCATACACCATGGTGGAGGTTGGGAGTTTTGATTCTTTCATACACCATGGTGGAGGTTGGGAGTTTTGATTCTTTCATACACCGTGGAGGGGTTGGGAGTTTTGATCCTTTCATACACCGTGGAGGGGTTGGGAGTTTTGATCCCTTCATACACCGTGGAAGAGGTTGGGAGTTTTGATCCCTTCATACACCGTGGAAGAGGTTGGGAGTTTTGATCCTTTCATACACCGTGGAGGGGTTGGGAGTTTTGATTCTTTCATACACCGCTGTAGGGGTTGGGAGTTTTGATCCTTTCATACACCGTGGAGGGGTTGGGAGTTTTGATTCTTTCATACACCGTGGAGGGGTTGGGAGTTTTGATCCTTTCATACACCGTGGAAGAGGTTGGGAGTTTTGATCCCTTCATACACCGTGGAAGAGGTTGGGAGTTTTGATTCTTTCATACACCGTGGAGGGGTTGGGAGTTTTGATCCTTTCATACAACGTGGAAGAGGTTGGGAGTTTTGATTCTTTCATACACCATGGTGGAGGTTGGGAGTTTTGATCCTTTCATACACCGTGGAGGGGTTGGGAGTTTTGATCCTTTCATATACCGCGGTAGGGGTTGGGAGTTTTGATCCTTTCATACACCGTGGAAGAGGTTGGGAGTTTTGATCCTTTCATACACCGTGGAGGGGTTGGGAGTTTTGATCCTTTCATATACCGTGGAAGAGGTTGGGAGTTTTGATCCTTTCATACACCGTGGAAGAGGTTGGGAGTTTTGATCCTTTCATACACCGTGGAAGAGGTTGGGAGTTTTGATTCTTTCATACACCGTGGAGGGGTTGGGAGTTTTGATCCTTTCATATACCGCGGTAGGGGTTGGGAGTTTTGATCCTTTCATATACCGTGGTAGGAGTTGGGAGTTTTGATCCTTTCATATACCGTGGTAGGAGTTGGAAGGTTTGATCCTTTCATATACAGTGGTAGGAGTTGGGAGGTTTGATCCTTTCATATACCGTGGTAGGTGTTGGGAGTTTTGTTTGGGACAGAATTATTTTTCAGAATATCCAGCATGTCAGGTGAACAATTTCTTTCTTTTGTTGTGAAACCTGCGGATAAATTATGTTTGTCAAGCCCATTCCGGAACAGTTTTTTTGTCAATCAATGTTCAGGCCCCTCCTAGAATATCAAATGTTAGGCCACAAACACTTATGTAAGACGATAACGATGGTAAATATGTTTTATGTATATTTGGCCATGTTTTCCTGAAGCTTAATGAGGGCGGTCGGGTAGCCTATTGGTCACAGCGTTCGCTCGTTACGCCGAAGATCTGGGTTCTTTTCCCGACATGGGTACAATGTGTGAAGCCCATTTCTGGTGTCCCCCGCCGATATGAAACTGCATATCATAGAGATATCATCCACATTGAGTGTGAGAAAGGATTGTTGTTCAGTATATTTCGCTATGTATGTAGAACAGCAGAGTTGTATGTTATGGCGTGGTTACTTTTGTTTCTAGGTTTGTGTTTTGTATTTTGTTATGTCAAGAGACCATAAATCTTCCTTTGGTAATGTTGACAAAAATACCAGTGTTGTTGCCAGAGACTTTCAGCAATAAAGTCACTTGTCAACTATTTGGTGTCTTGTTTTATATCAGTGTTCAACCTTGTAGATACTCGGGTCCACGACATCCTTTCCTTTACCGGAAACTAGTATGGGGTCGTGTCAGCTATACTTTAAAGGGGAAGTGTACACGCAAAAATCACTTTCTTTCTTTTTCTAAACAAAACGCAATTTTAGAATTAATTAGTATCTGTGTTTGAAAATATACACTCATTTTTTTCACAGTGAAAGTAGGAAGCTCACAATAGTGTGAAAATGATATGCCGTTATGAGGCCTTCGTTTTTCGAGCTAAACAGGCCTGAGTTATCCCCCTTAGATTATGACGTAATTGGTGCCAATTCAACTGGGTCCCTGTCTATTCTCAACGCAAAAGATATCAAGTACCAGTTTGCGGTAAAACAACATGGCCTACGACACACTCCGGCGCAGTGGTGACTCAGCATCACACTATGCTGGCTGGCATCTGAGACGCTAGAATCACACACCTAGACCTACACCACGTGAAGCGGCTCTAACAAAGCATGATGACGTCATAATGTTTATCAATTGGCACCAATGACGTCATATTGCAAGGGGCATAAGCCATGGTGTTTTTGTTGTGGAAATAGAACACTTGGTAAATGTGAAAAATATAAATCGTTTTAATGCGAAAAATATGTTAATTAATTGTGATATTTTTATATTTTTGTCTATGACACTTCTAGGTTAACACTTTTAATGTGGAAAAAGTACGAGAAAGATAGGTTAATTTCCGTGTGAACTTGCCCTTTAACATAACACTATGTGCGCATCATGATTATTCATGTGTTAACAGGTTATCACGCGAGCGTGTTTGGGATTGTATATCATGTACTGAGAATAAAAAGTGAGGCTCGGTGAGTTTTCACTAATAACGTCACACTGCATAACTTTGCTGTCTTCTAAAGAAGGGCGTGAGAACTAATTGCATCATGTCTGAAAGAGCTAAAGGACTGCAGCCTCTTCACTCGTCTGTGAAGTGGAGCGCAGAGCTACAATGCATTCTCATATTGACTCATATTGATATATTGCAAACTAGACAGGTCAAAGTCATGTTATACCATTGTTTATGCTTGAGCAAACTAGTCACTTCCTGGTTATGTTGACATATCAGGCTGCGATGAGGCTCAGTGGGATGTTAAGGCCTACCAGTAAATCGGTATGTTAACTGAATTGTACTTTTCATTGTACATTATATGTTGTTTCTGATTACTTCTATTTGGGTTCCAAAATGTTATACACAATTCAATCATTGTTATCGGTTACTATAATCATGTATATCGAGCAAGGGTACTGACTGTTACTCGAGCGCAGCCTATCGTTAAGCTTGTGAAGTGCATGAGAGTATATCATATGTTCCTAACATCGTAGGAGTGAGTTGGGTTTAACGCCGCTTTTAACAGTATTCCGGGGCGGTCGGGTAGCCTAGTGGTTAAAGCGTTCGCTCGTCACGCCGAAGACCCGGGTACGATTCCCGACATGGGTACAATGTATGAAGCCCATTTCTGGTGTCCCCCGCCGTGATATTGCTGGAAATTTGCTAAAAGCGGCGTAAAACTATACTCACTCACTCACTCAAACAGTATTCCAGTTACATCACGTCGTGTCAGATTAATGTGGGAGGAAAGCCCGAAGTGATGCAGGCCTCAGACGTTTACCACTTCGGTAAAAACCCACGAGCACGGGTATGGTGCTGACAAACCTAGAAACATAATCGGGGCGAACCGGGATTCGAACCCACAATCATAGGTTTCTGGCATGCCCAAGGGACGCAACTCTGCACAGCGAACCGCGGCGCCTTAGACGACTGGGCCACCCGTGCCCCCTAACATCGTAGGAAATCATTTTAGTTTATGTTTCAGTTACATTTACATGTTCTCCTCGTGATTACTTTAAGGACGTACTTTACTGTGGAATAGTTTTAATATTTTGATTTGTTTGATGAAATTAGGGTTTAGTTTGTCGCATTTGTTCGCCATACTCTTGTATAACTGGACTGTACAAAGTGATCTAGAAAAGACGGGAAAATTTCATTTACTGTTGAGATCAGATATCGCGAAGCAAGGGAGGTCCCAGAACTTATACAAGCTGTGAAAAGTATCGTCATGCGATCAGTCATTATCAATGACATTACATTTCACTTGTTGTTTGAATCATATCTTCTTTAATTCACAAAATTCTATATATACTCAACAAGAAAAGTTTCTGTGACACCAATATTTTAGTGTATTTTTCAAACATGTAAAGTTTGGTTTTCAATATGGTAGTACATGTATGGAATCAAGTGACAAAAAGACAACTGCTACAGAAAAGCATGCATTCCATGCAAAAGTTGACTTTTATGCAAGCCCCATGCATTTCACTACCCAAGAATGGGTATAAAAACAAGTGCGTTAACGGGATTCCATATGCATTGTTTAGCATCGTGCTGACAACAACCACTCAAAAAAAAAAAAATTACGCAATTATTCAACATTACGAAATGCCACGTCTGTCCGAAAATGAGCAGCTGCGAGCAATTGGTATGCTTGAAGCAGGATCGAGTCAACGTGATGTTGCGAGACAATTTAACGTCCACAGAAACACTATTTGGTGTAAATGGCAACGTTGGCAACAGACGAATGCAGTCAGAAACCATCCTCGGAGTGGCAGGCCACGCGTAACCAATAATCGACAAGACAACTGGATTCGAACAACACACCTACGAAATCGATTCCAGCCAGCAACAGTCACTGCAACAAGCATCCCTAGCCTTTAACGAATATCTTCACAAACCGTACGTCGTCGCCTCAGATGTGCAGGGATTGTCGCCAAAAGACCCGCCAGACGTCCCATTTTGACAGAAAACCACCGTCAAGCACGTCTACAGTTGTGCAGACAAGTTGTGGGGACAAGTTCTATTGACTGACGAGTCTCGTTTTCATCTCAGCCAAAGCAATGGACGGATTCGAGTGTACCGAAGTCGAGGTGAACGTAATTACCTTCAATCATTGTGTGATGGAAGAAGATCGGTTCGGGGCGGCAGCGTTATGGTATGGGGTGGGATTACAGCAAGACAGAGGGCCCATTTGATACTGGTAGAGGGAAATCTCAATGGACAGCGCTACCGCGACGAGATCATCGGCCCTGTTGTTCTACCGTTTTTGCGTCGTCATGGCCCAGGCTTTACCTTTCAACATGACAACGCCCGGCCTCATGTTGCCGATTCTCTTCAACAAAACAACGTGAATGTCATCCCCTGGCCGGCTCGCTCGCCTGATCTCTCACCAATCGAGCACATGTGGGATGAGATGGATCGGCGCCTTCGACGTCAACCACGTGTTCCACAGACACTCCAGGAACTTCGAAACATGCTACAGCAGACAGATATCCCACAGGACTTTGTGCGACGCCTGGTCCATTCCATGAGACGAAGATGTGTTGCTTGCATCGCAACCAGAGGTGGACACACACGCTATTGATTTGTAAATTGACATTTTGGCATGTTCATGTTTTTTTATATGAAATCACGCATTTTCTGAAGTCAGTATGGCAAATTAAACCATTTGAACACTTACAGGAGTCTTTTATGTGTTGCAAACCGAAATTGTTTCAGATTTGGTAAAAAACATAACTTTGCATTAATTCTTATTCAATGTCACAGGAACTTTTGTTGTTCAGTATACGTTCAAATTTCCACAAATGAACATTAACTCCTCAATGATCCAAAGTCAAGCATTATTCAGTATACACAGAAGTTTTGCGAGTTAGTGTAAATATAAATACCAAGTAAGGGTGTTCCAAGAAGCAGGTAGGTATATCAGCTCGGAAAGTATGCGTGCCTGTCAGTATATCATCAGTGGATGTAGGTGTGTTTATGTAAGTATATCAGCTGGGGAAGAACATGATCATATACTTATATCAGCTTGGATTTAAATGTCCATGTACGTATATCAGCCGGTAAAGTACATGTTTATGTAAGCATGTCAGCTTATCAGGAAGTACATGTTGATGTAATTATATCATCTGGGAAAGTACTTGTCTCCGCGAGGGTATCAGCTGGAGGAGTATATCAAGCGAGGAAGTATATTATGTTCATGTATGTGAGCATATCAGCCGGAGACTTATACGTGCGCGGATGTACATGTATCAATCTGTGAAGTAGATAATTATGTAAGTACTAGTACTAGTATATCAGCTGGGGAAGGACGTGTTCGTGTCAGTATAGCACCTGGGGAAGGACGTGTTCGTGTGAGTATATCAGCTGGGGAGTACATGTTTGTGTGGGTATAGCACCTGGGGAAGGATGTGTTCGTGTGAGTATAGCCCCTGGGGAGTACATGTTGGTGTGAGTATAGCACCTGGGGAAGGACGTGTTCGTGTGAGTATATCAGCTGGGGAGTACATGTTTGTGTGGGTATAGCACCTGGGGAAGGATGTGTTCGTGTGAGTATAGCACCTGGGGAGTACATGTTTGTGTGAGTATAGCACCTTGGGAAGGACGTGTTCGTGTAAGTATATCAGCTGGGGAGTACATGTTTGTGTGAGTATAGCACCTGGGGAAGGATGTGTTCGTGTGAGTATAGCACCTGGGGAGTACATGTTTGTGTGAGTATAGCACCTTGGGAAGGACGTGTTCGTGTAAGTATATCAGCTGGGGAGTACATGTTTGTGTGAGTATAGCACCTGGGGAAAGATGTGTTCGTGTGAGTATATCACCTGGGGAAGGACGTGGTCGTATGAGTATATCAGTTGGGAGTGCATGATTTTTGTGAGTATAGCACCTGGGTAAGGACGCGTTCGTGGGAGTATAGCGCCTGGGGAAGGACGTGTTCGTGTGAGTATATCAGCTGGGGAAGGATTTTTCGTGTGTGTATAGCACCTGGGTAAGGACGTGTTCGTGTGAGTATATCAGCTGTGGAGTACATGTTTGTGTGAGTATGGCACCTGGGGAAGAACGTTTTCGTGTGAGTATATCAGCTGGGGAGTACATGTTTGTGTGAGTATAGCACCTGGGGAAAGATGTGTTCGTGTGAGTATATCACCTGGGGAAGGACGTGGTCGTATGAGTATATCAGTTGGGAGTGCATGATTTTTGTGAGTATAGCACCTGGGTAAGGACGCGTTCGTGGGAGTATAGCGCCTGGGGAAGGACGTGTTCGTGTGAGTATATCAGCTGGGGAAGGATTTTTCGTGTGTGTATAGCACCTGGGTAAGGACGTGTTCGTGTGAGTATATCAGCTGTGGAGTACATGTTTGTGTGAGTATGGCACCTGGGGAAGAACGTTTTCGTGTGAGTATATCAGCTGGGGAGTACATGTTCGTGTGAGTATATCAGCTGGGGAAGGACGTGTTTGTGTGAGTATAGCAGCTGGGGAAGGACGTGTTCGTGTGAGTATATCAGTTGGGGAGTACATGTTTGTGTGAGTATGGCTCCTGGGGAAGGACGTGTTCGTGTGAGTATATCAGCTGGGGAAGGACGTGTTTGTGTGAGTATAGCAGCTGGGGAAGGACGTGTTCGTGTGAGTATATCAGCTGGGGAGTACATGTTTGTGTGAGTATGGCAGCTGGGGAAGGACGTGTTCGTGTGAGTATATCAGCTGGGGAAGGGTGTGTTCGTGTGAGTATAGCACCTGGGGAAGGACGTGTTCGTGTGAGTAGAACACCTGGGGAAGGACGTGTTCGTCTGAGTATATTAGCTGGGGAAAGATGTGTTCGTGTGAGTATATCACCTGGGGAAGGACGTGGTCGTATGAGTATATCAGTTGGGAGTGCATGATTTTTGTGAGTATAGCACCTGGGTAAGGACGCGTTCGTGGGAGTATAGCGCCTGGGGAAGGACGTGTTCGTGTGAGTATATCAGCTGGGGAAGGATTTTTCGTGTGTGTATAGCACCTGGGTAAGGACGTGTTCGTGTGAGTATATCAGCTGTGGAGTACATGTTTGTGTGAGTATGGCAACTGGGGAAGAACGTTTTCGTGTGAGTATATCAGCTGGGGAGTACATGTTTGTGTGAGTATAGCACCTGGGGAAAGATGTGTTCGTGTGAGTATATCACCTGGGGAAGGACGTGGTCGTATGAGTATATCAGTTGGGAGTGCATGATTTTTGTGAGTATAGCACCTGGGTAAGGACGCGTTCGTGGGAGTATAGCGCCTGGGGAAGGACGTGTTCGTGTGAGTATATCAGCTGGGGAAGGATTTTTCGTGTGTGTATAGCACCTGGGTAAGGACGTGTTCGTGTGAGTATATCAGCTGTGGAGTACATGTTTGTGTGAGTATGGCACCTGGGGAAGAACGTTTTCGTGTGAGTATATCAGCTGGGGAGTACATGTTCGTGTGAGTATATCAGCTGGGGAAGGACGTGTTTGTGTGAGTATAGCAGCTGGGGAAGGACGTGTTCGTGTGAGTATATCAGTTGGGGAGTACATGTTTGTGTGAGTATGGCTCCTGGGGAAGGACGTGTTCGTGTGAGTATATCAGCTGGGGAAGGACGTGTTTGTGTGAGTATAGCAGCTGGGGAAGGACGTGTTCGTGTGAGTATATCAGCTGGGGAGTACATGTTTGTGTGAGTATGGCAGCTGGGGAAGGACGTGTTCGTGTGAGTATATCAGCTGGGGAAGGGTGTGTTCGTGTGAGTATAGCACCTGGGGAAGGACGTGTTCGTGTGAGTAGAACACCTGGGGAAGGACGTGTTCGTCTGAGTATATTAGCTGGGGAAGGACGTGGTGGTGTGAGTATATCAGCTTGGGTGTACATGTTTGTGTGAGTATATCAGCTGGGGAAGGACGTGTTCTTTTGAGAATATCAGCTGGGGAAGGACGTGTTCGTATGAGTATATCAGCTGGGGAAGGACGTGTTCGTGTGAGTATATCAGCTGGGGAGTACATGTTTGTGTGAGTATAGTACCTGGGGAAGGACGTGTTCGTGTGAGTATAGCACCTGAGGAAGGACGTGTTCGTGTGAGTATATCAGCTGGGGAGCACATGTTTGTGTGAGTATCAGCGCTGGACATGCATTTATATGGAAGTATATCCGGTTAATAAATCATCTGTGGACATATTTTTTATATGTAAGTGTATAAGCTGGGAATGTACATGTTCGTGTGTGTATATAAGCTGAAGAAGTACAATGTACAGTCATGTCGTAGTATATCAGCTATACCTGTTTTATGTGAGTATATCACCTGTGTAAGTACATGTTCATGTTAGTATATAAGCGTTTACAAGTTTGCGTGAGTATGCCAGCTGGAGAAGTGCCTGTTCGTGACAGATAACCAGATGGGGAAGTACGTGTTTATGTGAGTATACAAACTGTATCAATCTCACTATATCAGCTCAGAAAGTATATGTTCGTGTAAGCATATCAGCTGGAGAAGTGTATGTTTGTGTAAATAATCAGCCGGTGAAGAATGCTGTTATGCGTCAGTGTAATTTATTGTTAAACAATGATTGTAACTGTATTTATGTTCAGATTCAGTAGAAGCTCATTGCATTGTATTTGGACAATGATAAGTTGTCAGGAATGTAGTACTATTTTATGAAAGCAGTGTTGAGGAAGTCACTATATTAAGATGCTAGTGTGATGTGTAAACTTCCGGATTATCATGGATGGATGGCAAAGCGTTATAAAAACATTTGGAATATTTTGTGATGCTCTTGTGACACTAGACTGGTCTGGCACTGTGTGGAAAGTTCTTGAAGCTAGTTGTACTATGTACGTGGAGCGGGTGCGTGTCTGCATCTTCTCACATTTCATGACATCAATACTAGCTATTGTGTGAATATCACTGACCAACCCGGATTCCGGAAGCTTGACCACTGTCATTGCTGGTTGAAACTTTTATTTGTGAATATCATGTTTAATAAAGTGTAGAGTATAACCACTGTTAAGAGGTCACAAGTGTATATTTCTAAAATCTATTTAAGATTTTGGACGTTAGAATATATAAATAAATGCGACAGACACATTTGGAAATACCATATTCATGTGTACCATAAAACAGTTTGAAAGTTTTACAAAGGCTTTGATTGTGGTAACCCTGATAAAACCTTTGAGCAAGAGTCGTATGACGCTCTTTGAAATAGTCGTAGAAAGAGTATGCTCGATTGCACCTCAAGAGTTGTGAAATGTAGACACCAAAGGTTGTAGTTTTTTTAAATATTGCTCCACATAAAGGGAAAGTTGAAGTCAACCCTATTGTCAAAAAGTCTTGTTGAGAGTTTGTTGTCACTCTTTAATTATAGGCCAAAGAAAAGCGACAGATACCTTTCCATATTCATTCGAAATCTCTGCCCAAAACATGATCGATTGTACGATTCCGACTATATCTTGGGCATGTGTTTATGAATCACCATCAAATAGTGATGGCATTTGTCAACATACTGCAATCAAACAAATCGTCCGCTGTTGTTCTTCCTCCACCATGTTCGTCTCAAGGTACGCCATTACACGCCGCAAGCAGTCGGTTCACTTCGGTTACGGTATCATGACGCGCAAGCCCCTTGGTAAGCACTCCATTTCATGGCTTGCAGTTGCTGCAGTCTGCTGACATTGGTGGCTGAAACAACTTTTACGACAGGAAACACCTTAACTCGCACCAGAACCAGGCACACAGAACTTCGGCTAGGTGTACAAGAGTTAGATCGGCCCCACAACACTTGCGGATTTCCGAATTAACCAAATTAATAATTATATTTAAAACTTAAATTCAAATCCTACTTATTGCTGCATGGAATTTTGGATAATCACATACTGAACAAATAATATAATATGACCAGTTTAACCCTAAAGTATCCATTTTAGTTGGGATTATTAAGTTTAAAACGTCTCTTAACGTAATGGTGCAGGCAATTGGGTGGATCCACCCGTCAGTTAGTCCACAGTCATAGTCCGCTCGCATACATATAGCTGGGGAAGTATATGTCCATGAAGGTATATTATGCGATACGTTCCAATCAGTATAAGTCATGTTAATTTTCGTTACAGGTATAATGACGCGTCCCTACTACTTGGAGGACTGAGTGCAAGAGTATACTCCAGCCATATATCAAGATGGTGGAGACTTAAGATAGGCTTCACACATTATGCCTTAGTCTTCGATGTGACGTTTATACAACAAGATACCGATCTCCCTTCTCACATTAAAGAAAATATACAATGCCTTGTGATGAATATGCTTATAATACTGTAGGGTTTAGCGACATGTTATGTTTTTAAAGGAAGATATACTTTTATATCTTGATCGCCTGTAACTTTATTTGTGTGAAGCGCGTCCGTATGTCAATAGGCTTAATTCATATGTACAGCTACATTTCACGTTGACACAAATCTCTTATCTCTATATTTGATGTAATCATTTTTCCTCACAGAACATGATCGCGACAGTCATCTTGCTACTTGTCGTCCTTCCTGGTGTGCAAATCTGTGAAGGTATTGACACGTTTAATTCACGTTCCGTTTCTTTGAATTCCGTTACACAGTACTACACGCCATTTAAGTCACATGTATCCAAGCAGGGTGTATTTAAGAGCTATTTATAAATGGGCGTGTACACCGCTAGACCGAATGTCTGGGGTTGTACACGAATGTTCAGTTCATAATACTCTGTACATCCCGCTTATAAGTTATAATGACTTATATTCTGCGAAATAATTGTATGTGGCATTTAGATATATCTTGTGGCAGCCATCGGACTTTCAGTATGATAATGTGATGATAGCGTGACAAAACATTATGACGCCATGTACTGATCGTCCGACAGACTTGCATGGTGCTTTTTTTACAATAAGGCGACTGGCCAGTTAGATAGTATTACCTATATTCTTTGATGAGTAAAGGTAATGCCTTATATGTATTGTAAATCAACAAAACTACACTCTGAAGTGTTCAAGTAAAAATGTAAAGTCACCGACTTTATGTATGTACATGTATTTCTGTAGCATGTCACTGATGTTGGTAACACTTCGTCCTTTCTCTCACAGGTCGTGCATACCTGACAGGGTCTGCTACCACTGCAGTCGCCGGTCACCCATTCATCTTCACCTGCGAACTCATGTCTGGAGTTACTTATCTTGTGAGGTGGACTGGAGAATTACAAAACAGAACGTCTGAATGGCATGTTTCCCCATACTCTAACTGCAGAACCACTTCAAACAACGTACCAGATATCTATATCTATAACTTCACATGTTCACCACACATGTACACTCTAACAATTCTTGACGTTGATTACAACACTCATCGGAAATCGAACTGGACATGTTTTGACTATGATTACTATGAAAGGAGCAACATTGTAACACTTGATGTCAATGGTGAGAATTGCAAGTTAAATACTTAAAATATTCATCAAGATATGATGATTGTTAATCAATAAACATGCAAGACTCATCACCAATCAGTTCGCTTTGTATGAAAATATTTTACGAGCAAATGATCAAATTTCTTTTATGATAAAACACTTGTATGACTGCTTGGTATTGATAGTTTACGAATATCAAATCTTTTAACACTGTTTTTTGTTGTTGTTGTTTAACGCCGCACTCAGCAATATTCCAGCTTTATGACGGCGGTCTGTAATAATCGAGTCTGGACCAGACAATCCAGTGATTGATATCATGAGCATCGATCCACGCAACATGCATCACCCAAGTCAACGAGTCTGACCACCCGATAAACTATGTAAAACGATTATCACTAGTACTGTCAATATCTTCCTTGTTCGTTTTAGTGACACTGCCATATTCTGCTATGACATTGCTAGCTTCCTGATATGTTTGTGAATATTTATAGTTACTTCATTGCAAATTGTTTGATTGTAGTGAATACGTTTCTTCTGAATATGTCTGCCGGAACATATCCTATTTATCAACTGTGTTCGTTTATGTTGTAGTCAGTGCCCTGATAACATTATGATGAATACAACAGGTGCTGGTTTAGATTACCTGATCAAGCAAGTGTATGATGACGTGAAGGACAGGATATAATAGATACCGTTATGTGTCTTTCTTTCAATGCACGTCGCACGGTTTGTATGTTATCTTTCTGCAGTAACGACATTTGACCTTGTGCACGATTGTCATTTTACAGCATGCACATGCAAATGCATGATTCAGACCATAAGTACTTTCACATCAAATACTATCATGCTGGGCATAAGGAACAAGCAATTATATCAGTTTTGTTAAAAAATCCACAACAATACCAATTGTGTTTTTTTTGTATAATTTGAAATTGATTTCGTGGGTAATGTTCGTCTCACCATGCATAGCTTTAAAGGGCATGCCTGGTGTACCTTGGGCCAAATAAGTAAATGACATGAACAATTTCGCTAACTTTATTGGATTTTTTTGCAGACTTGGACATATTCATAACCTGTACTGTAACCAAAAAAGTGTCGTCTTTTGTTTCATCAGTTCCCCTGGACACAGCCACCTTACTTAACGCTACAACAAATGCCCTGAATCTGTCTGAAGGTGACACGATGTTGTTGCTGTGTGAAACAAACCCAACCCGACCACCATCAAGCATAACATGGTTGAAGGACGATGACATCATAGCAATCGGCACTTCTTCATCGATTCGTGAAGAAGGGGGACTTAGTGTTACTGTGGGTCGTCTTTCCACAGAGGTCACAAGAGAGCTCCATAGGAAGAGAGTTTATTGTGTTGGACACTACGAAGAAACGAATTTCACAACAAACGGAATGCTGCTGCATATTGACGGTAAGTTTAGGCAATATAACATTGACAGAACCTCAATTATTTCCACTACTGCAACTATTTCCCAACAAAATGTCAATATGACTAACTCTTTGAAAAGACGTAAAAATATGTACGATACACTACAACAATTAAGTTTGCGTACCAACCACGAAACAGATAACCATGGTCTGTCCCGCTGATAGTTCTCTCGTGGCATATAGCTCAAGACATGACGGTAGTTTTGTTCGTCCTTTGTGACTTTTGCATTGTGTCTCAATCTTGCCAAATATCTAAGCATATCGTAAAATACCAAATATTTACATGAAAGTTTAGTTTCTTCAAACGCATTGTTTTCAGTTCCTCTCGTGGAAATAAGTATTATGAATTCAACAAACTCCCCCATGGCTATGACAGAGAATGATGACGTCACGCTTGTGTGTGAGACCAATCCAACCATACCTTCATCTACCATCGTCTGGATGAAAGAAAATAATACTCTGTCAGAGGATGTGACGTCACTATCACGTCCTGTCAACGGTGCGGTAGTGGCAGTCAGTATGGCGACATTCGCCGTTTCTTGTGACGATCATCTGACCCGTATCCGGTGTTCTGGTGTCTACAAAAGTACACAGATAACATCCAAATCTCAGACCCTGTTTGTACACTGTATCACGAAGGAAGAGGCATCTACATCAGGTGACTATGACTATTTTGAATGTTAAAAGGGATATTATGCTTCAACGTCTGGTGCCCATATCCTGCCCAGAACAAGACGTTAAAATTAGTCCCATGTGTGAAAGTGAGACATTGTCCCTATGTAATAAAGATAACCGTTGAATTGTATAGAAGTTTACGTCGATTAACATGAGAAATAGGGAAACAAAGACAGTTTCAGGAATACGAATCAAAATTGCTAGGACAGCCATTTATCCCGAGCCTATTCTCTCTTTTAGCTTTAGGTGAGGTGAGGTGAAAGGGGGTTTAACGTCGCGTCCAAGATTATTGCACTATATTATAATGACGTGCATGGACGTGTATGTATGTGTGTGTGTGTGTGCGTGCGTGCGTGTGTGTGTGTGTTTGTGTGGCCTCTTGTACTAGTCCGGACCGATGCCGATTTATAGTGCTAGCTCACTGAGATACCATGCCGCAGTTTAACACGAATACCTCACTCAGACACAGTATACTGACTCCGAGCCGAACAGTCCTTGTTTTAGCCCCTTAATGCCGAGCGCCAGACAGGGTAACAACAAGTACCATCTTTTAACGTCTTTTGGTATGACGCGGCCGGGTTTAGTTTTGGGGAACACGTTATGTTGAACACTGTCCCTGTAGGTACCCGGGGGGAATTCCAGATAAGAAAGGACCCCCAGTACTCCATGATATTTATAAGACCAAACTAACACAACGAACAGGACTGGTGTGTATAATGTGTGCTATGTGTGTCTGTCTGTTATTGCACAAAGACATCATATGGTGCTGCCCCAGCATACCACCACTGTTTGATTTTTCAAACCCGAATCAATAATCGAAATATTGATGACAGAAGTGTAATTTTCTTACAATGACTCAATCTCAATGATTGCTGATTACGAATGGAAAGGGGCATGGCGGTTAATATAACATTGTCCATTTCCGCACATTTAGGAGCCACTTTCGGTGCTGGTGTTGGCGTCGGGATGACACTATGCCTGCTTCCCCTTCTGGTAGCAGTGGCTGTTTACATCGTGTGGTGGAGAAGACACCAAACACAGGAGGGTGGGTTGCTTGAAGTCACTAATAGTTACATAAGCAGACTTAAAGTGGGAGACTTGCAATTAGAAGTATAAATATAATTTTGAAAGTCACAGAGTTAAATCGCAGTGATGAAAGTATGAGCACACAAATACATGTATCAACGAGGATTTTCGTACTGTTCTGCCGTACCATTTCGACATATGCATCGTAGAGCAGAATGTGTTTTAAATTGTAAAAATTGGTAAAAATTGGTAAAAGTACCACCTCACAGGCTATTACAGGTTATTGTACACAGCCATTCATGCACTGAATGATATCTCAATTACTACCGTATATCTAATTGCCTGTGATTCTGTTGAAAATAAGCCCATTTAATGTGCTTTCCAGATTTTGAACCAACATGAAACTTTGTGTTTACAGATAAAACACAACCAACTGAATCGACACCGTGAGTATGGCCATTCCTATGTCATAGTTTGTAATAATGAAAGGGCACACATCCTTTTTCAAATATATATGAAATATGTCTATATATAGATGTGCCCTCTGTTGTAGGAGTAGAGCAGCACAGCCCCAGCTTGGTAAGTTGTTACGTACGCTTCCTCCTAATATCTGTTGGTGTTCAAACGTGCCAACTTAATTTCTTTGGTGAGGTGAGGTGAAATTGGGTTTATCGTCGCGTCCAAGATTATTGGACTTATATAGCGGCGTGAATGTAAAGTGTGTGTGTGTGTGTGTGTGTGTGTGTGTGTGTGTGTGTGTGTGTGTGTGTGTGTGTGTGTGTGTGTGTGTGTGTGTGTGTGTGTGTGTGTGTGTGTGTGTGTGTGTGTGTGTGTGCGTGCTACTAGTCCGGGCTGATGGCGATTAATAGTCTTAGCTCCATTAGATACCATGTCGAAGTTTAACATGAATACCCCACTCAGACACAGCATACTGACTCCGAGCCGACCAGTCCTTGTTTAGCCCCTTAATGTCGAGCGCCAGACAGGGTAACAACAAGTACAATATTTTAACATTTTTTGGTATGACGCGGCCGGGATCAGACCCCGGACCTTCCGCTCTCCGGGCGGACGCTCTACCACAAGACCAAGGAGTCGGTCCAATGTCTTTGGATTTCCTAGATGGTGAGGGGTTTAGCATCTTGGATTATATATACACTTCAATGTGAGTGGAGTAATGAATGAATCAATGTTAGTTTTGTTTTCTAAGAGGACATTCTAGTAGGTTAAGTGTCGCGATGAAATATGTTCGCCAAAGTGAAGTACTAGGTTGCCTCATTGTCTCATATACGCTAATATATATTTCTTATATCACTGTGATATTTCCAAGCCATCATTGTTGGATTGAACTTTGTAATTAATTACATTACTCCTGGATTACACGCTTTGTTTGTGTTTAAAGACAGCCGACAGACAACGAACATCTATGAGAGCATGGACGAGAGCACCAAGCAAAGAAACAACACAACCTATGAGGATATACATTTGCAGGTCTATGAAAACACTGCTTAAACCGAGAAATTCGGTAATTTTCAGAGGACCAGTACCGGCACTGGTACTGTTATATATGTGTGTATATTTGTAATTGCACGTGGACGCATATTAACGCTTTAAACACAAGTTGCATTAAACTGTCCTTAGTGTTGTTTGTGCTTGTTTTCTGTCATTTTCGGATATTACATATCAGTTGTTGGCTCAAATGACTGAAAGCCAGGTGAGCTTATACATGTGTCGTGTTGTTCTTCGGTCCGTCGTGAAATTTCTATTCTAAACCTGCAAGGTCTGTGATGCTGAAACAATTCAAGCTTCGGTGTCCATAAACATTCGCCTTGATTTCCCATCCGAGTTTAAACATGGCCGCTACATGTACATTAGTAATGGTCCAGATGTCTATTGTGCCCGTAATGTGTAATTATTATGACATTGATAATTGATCATTGATCACTGAACATACAGTAGATACATGGTGTGCGGAATTGCATTGAAATTCATTTTTGGCACACAGCCCGGGCAATCATGATGTAAATGCCCCCTACGAAGCCAGTCATGCATGTATGTAATAAAAGAGTATTTTAAGGAACATACTGTGAGGATGTGTGTTGCAAAGTGTTTTCTTTTGTGTATATTTATCTGTCACACATACATACACACACAGAGTCACACATACATACACACTCAAAGAGTCACACATGCATACACACATAAAGTCACACATACATACACACACAGTCACACATACATACACACACAGTCATACATACAGACAACACACACAAAGAGTCACACATACATACACACTCAAAGAGTCACACATGCATACACACATAAAGTCACACATACATACACACACAGTCACACATACAGACAACACACACAAAGAGTCACACATGCATACACACACAGAGAGTCACACATACATACACACACAAAGAGTCATACATACACCCACAAAGAGTCACACACATATACACATACAAAGGGACATACATATACCGACACACACAAAGGGTCGCACACACACAAAGAGTCACACATACATACACACTCAAAAAGTCACACATACATACACACTCAAAGAGTCACACACATATACACACACAAAGAGTCACACATTCACACACACATACAAAGGGACATACATATACCGACACACACAAAGGGTCGCACACACACGAAGAGTAACACATACATACACACACAAAGAGTCACACATACATACACACTCAAAGAGTCACACATACATACACAAAGTCACACATACATACACACACAGTGTCACATATACATACACACAAAAAGTCACACATACACACACACACACACACAAAGTCGCACATACATACATACACACACAAAAATAGTCACACATACACACACACACAGAGTTACACACACACACAAAGAGTCACACATTGATACACACATACAAAGGGACATACATACACAGACGCACACAAAGAGTCGCACACACCGGAAAAGTCACACATACATACACACTCAAAGAGTCACATACATACACACTCAAAGAGTCACACATACATACACACTCAAAGAGTCACATACATACACACTCAAAGAGTCACACATACATACACACACAAAGTCACACATACATACACACACACATAGAGTCACACATACATACACACACACAAAGTCGCACATACACAAAAAAAGTCATACATCCACACACACAAAGAGTCACAGATACATACACAGACATAGAGTCACACACAAACACACGCACACAAAGAGTCTCAAAAACATACACACACAAAGAGTCACACACACACACACACACACACACACACACACACACACACACACACACACACACACACACACACACACACACACACACATACATACACACACAAAGAGTCACACACACACACACACATACATACACACACAAGGAGTCTCCCATACATACACACACAAAGAGTCACACACACACACACACACACACACACACACACACACAAAGTACGTGCGTCGCTATGTAAGTGCAATGAACTTGAACACAACGTTGAACCACTCCTATTGTTTTATTCATGGTATTGTATCATTTACATTTATATATTGCTTTCTGGATGTATGTATACATCTATATGTTTACCACTCACTGGAAATCTAAAAGCAAAGTTAGGTGCTGAATTCGATCCCGCTGTCCATTTTTTCCTGATCTGATCTTCTGGTTTTTATTAGCTAGCTCTATATGAGTTTTTGCCTCATGAATAATTACGTACTCATTGGAAAACAATCGTTATCATTGTATATATATGTACAGTTTCTGGCTTTCACATCAAACATAGTTTGCTGTACCGTATCGTTATAAACGTTTGGATATAGCCTCACTGTCATAATGATGATTGCATTGTTTCCGGAGAGATATCTACTGTGGTTTGATCCTTTTTCATTAATTTATTTTTAATTTAGATTAAAAACTAATTTATGATCTGAACACACCCACCAATAACATTAATGTATATTACTAGGGATAATCACCACAGAGTAAAACTATGTAAGTTTATTTATTAAAGATGATTGCTATTTTTCCAAAGCGTTTTTACCATCATTGCATTACCTACGTGACCTTAAGAACTAGTGTCTGCCTATATCTTGTACAACTGTCCATGTGTGTGTACTGTACACTATACATGTATCTTGTACAACTGTCCATGTGTGTGTACTGTACACTATACATGTATCTTGTACAACTATCCATGTGTGTGTACTGTACACTATATCTTGTACAACTATCCATGTGTGTGTACTGTACACTATATCTTGTACAACTATCCATGTGTGTGTACTGTACACTATATCTTGTACAACTATCCATGTGTGTGTACTGTACACTATATCTTGTACAACTATCCATGTGTGTGTACTGTACACTATATCTTGTACAACTGTCCATGTGTGTGTACTGTACACTATATCTTGTACAACTATCCATGTGTGTGTACTGTACTTTATGCCTTGTACAACTATCCATGTGTGTGTACTGTACACTATGTCTTGTACAACTGTCCATGTGTGTGTACTGTACACTATGTCTTGTACAACTATCCATGTGTGTGTACTGTACACTATATCTTGTACAACTATCCATGTGTGTGTACTGTACACTATGTCTTGTACAACTATCCATGTGTGTGTACTGTACACTATATCTTGTACAACTGTCCATGTGTGTGTACTGTACACTATATCTTGTACAACTGTCCATGTGTGTGTACTGTACACTATATCTTGTACAACTGTCCATGTGTGTGTACTGTACACTATATCTTGTACAACTATCCATGTGTGTGTACTGTACACTATATCTAGTACAACTGTCCATGTTTGTGTACTGTACACTATATCTTGTACAACTGTCCATGTGTGTGTACTGTACACTATATCTTGTACAACTATCAATGTGTGTGTACTGTACACTATACATGTATCTTGTACAACTATCCATGTGTGTGTTCTGTACACTATACATGTATCTTGTACAACTATCCATGTTTGTGTACTGTACACTTAATCTTGTACAACTGTCCATTTGTGTGTACTGTACACTATATCTAGTACAACTATCCATGTTACTGTACTGTACACTATATCTTGTACAACTATCCATGTGTGTGTACTGTACACTATACATGTATCTTGTACAACTATCCATGTGTGTGTTCTGTACACTATACATGTATCTTGTACAACTATCCATGTGTGTGTACTGTACACTTAATCTTGTACAACTGTCCATGTGTGTGTACTGTACACTATATCTAGTACAACTATCCATGTTACTGTACTGTACACTATATCTTGTACAACTATCCATGTGTGTGTACTGTACACTATACATGTATCTTGTACAACTATCCATGTGTGTGTTCTGTACACTATACATGTATCTTGTACAACTATCCATGTGTGTGTACTGTACACTATATCTTGTACAACTATCCATGTGTGTGTACTGTACACTATATCTAGTACAACTATCCATGTTACTGTACTGTACACTATATCTTGTACAACTATCCATGTGTGTGTACTGTACACTATATCTTGTACAACTGTCCATGTGTGTGTACTGTACACTATATCTTGTACAACTATCCATGTGTATGTACTGTACACTATATCTAGTACAACTGTCCATGTGTATGTACTGTACACTATATCTTGTACAACTGTCCATGTGTATGTACTGTACACTATATCTTGTACAACTGTCCATGTGTGTGTACTGTACACTATACATGTATCTAGTACAACTGTCCATGTGTATGAACTGTACACTATATCTTGTACAACTGTCCATGTGTATGTACTGTACACTATATCTTGTACAACTGTCCATGTGTGTGTACTGTACACTATATCTTGTACAACTGTCCATGTGTGTGTACTGTACACTATACATGTATCTGGTACAACTGTCCATGTGTATGTACTGTACACTATATCTTGTACAACTGTCCATGTGTGTGTACTGTACACTATACATGTATCTAGTACAACTGTCCATGTGTATGTACTGTACACTATATCTTGTACAACTGTCCATGTGTGTGTACTGTACACTATACATGTATCTAGTACAACTGTCCATGTGTATGTACTGTACACTATATCTTGTACAACTATCCATGTGTGTGTACTGTACACTATACATGTATCTTGTACAACTATCCATGTGTGTGTACTGTACACTATGCATGTATCTTGTACAACTGTCCATGTGTATGTACTGTACACTTTATCTTGTACAACTGTCCATGTGTGTGTACTGTACACTATACATGTATCTTGTACAACTGTCCATGTGTATGTACTGTACACTATATCTTGTACCACTATCCATGTGTGTGTACTGTACACTATACATGTATCTTGTACAACTGTCCATGTGTATGTACTGTACACTATATCTTGTACAACTATCCATGTGTGTGTACTGTACACTATATCTAGTACAACTGTCCATGTGTATGTACTGTACACTATATCTTGTACAACTGTCCATGTGTGTGTACTGTACACTATATCTTGTACAACTGTCCATGTGTGTGTACTGTACACTTAATCTTGTACAACTGTCCATGTGTGTGTACTGTACACTTTATCTTGTACAACTGTCCATGTGTGTGTACTGTACACTATACATGTATCTTGTACAACTGTCCATGTGTATGTACTGTACACTATATCTTGTACCACTATCCATGTGTGTGTACTGTACACTATACATGTATCTTGTACAACTGTCCATGTGTATGTACTGTACACTATATCTTGTACAACTATCCATGTGTGTGTACTGTACACTATATCTAGTACAACTGTCCATGTGTATGTACTGTACACTATATCTTGTACAACTGTCCATGTGTGTGTACTGTACACTATATCTTGTACAACTGTCCATGTGTGTGTACTGTACACTATACATGTATCTTGTACAACTGTCCATGTGTATGTACTGTACACTATATCTTGTACAACTATCCATGTGTGTGTACTGTACACTATATCTTGTACAACTGTCCATGTGTATGTACTGTACACTATATCTTGTACA